GTACCGAACAAATAACAAGATACCAACTACTGATCTTCGGCCTTATCTGGGGTAGAAATTTCACGTGCTTCTTACCCGCCAAAGTATCTCTAAAATATTATATGCAAATATTCAAGTAATCCGGTTAGATAGAAAATTCCACTTTATCTTCCTAGGATTTTGATGAAAATTCATTAACCCATACTTTTTTAATGAAAAATATTCTAATAATAAGTAGATCCATCTACTCATTTTATCATATTGATTTTCAAATATATCATCTTTTAATTCTTGTCGATGGAATAAAGAGATTGTAACAGTCGTAGGATGTTTATCTCTTTTTGTTTAAAAAAAAAGTCGTAATCAATAATTAAACGGCGATTAATTGATGTTCAGATCATCTGTTTCTTAAGGAGGGAGAGGAGGAAGAGTAGGGGCGTGCCAAAAAAAAAAAATCAAATCTAACCAATTCAACCCATTGATTCGGATTGTAAAATTTCAATTTTGAATTATCCAAAATTCTAAATAATAACGTTTAAAAAATTTTACTCAAGTCCAACAATGCAACTCCCCAGCTCTCTAGCGCCCCAACCCCACCCCAGCCAACCTTGATTTTCTTTTTCTTTTTAACATTTAAATTATTTATTTTTCAAGCCTTCAAATGAGAATTAACTATTTGTTTTCAGAATTATCCTAGTATGTTTTGATAAATATGGTAGAGGTATAGAATATATTGTATAAAGTTATAAAATATTAAATTTTGATTTAATTTTTTTTATTAAATTAAAGTTTATATTCAAGTATTATAGAAGATATAAAAATACAGGATTCTTACCAAATTGAATTGAAGTTCCTTTTTCCTAGAAGTTTTTTTATTTCAACAAGCCAAATATAACTTAAGAAAAATATTGAATTTGGAGGAGAAGAGAAATGATAGAGATTGAAGACATGACACGTTGGAAACCTAATAATTTGAATTGAAGTTTCCTCTCTTTTTCCCTACAAAATTTCAATAAAAAGGACCCACATACGTTCCCTTCAAAATAAACACACCATAGAAAAAAGGCATAATACCAAAAGTAGCTCCCAACGTTTATCAAAATAGTCATTTTGGTCCCTATTATTCTTTTAGAGCATTTTGGGGCAAAAAGCTCCCTCCATAGATGAAAACCATTAGTTAACACACAATTAGGGCTCCAAAATATGAGTTTTTTAAACCTAAAATAAAACGTTGAGGGCTAAAATGTCACAAAAAAATAATAAGGGATAAAGTGATTATTATATCAAATGTTAGGGCCTTTTTATCCTAAAATTAAATGATATGGTCAAAATGCTCTAAATAATAAAATATGATTTAAAATGACTATTTTAATAAATATTAGGGGCTAATTTTTTCATTCTACCCATAAATAGATATGAAATCAATTTCAATCGCAGGGGACACACATGAAAGGCCCTACAAATATATTGTTTCTACTTTTCTTTTTCAAAAGATCACATTCCCCTAATTAGGGTTGTAAATGAGACGAGACAGATCGCGAGTTACTCGAGATTGATTCGGTAAAGGCTCGATAAATACTCGGATCGAATGAACTCGACTCGAGCTCGACTATAATTCTTAATGAGTCGAAACGAGCTACTTGATACTCAACTCGAAAAGCTCGTGAGCAGATCGAAAATATAATATATTAAGATTTTATTTTTTAAAAATAAATTATTAATAATATTAACATTTACGTTGATTTTTTTAAAAAATACAGTAAAGTTTTCATGTATTTAAGGTTAATGTTTTAGTTTGAGGCTTCAATCTAGTTAAGTTTAAGATTTTTTTCTTCATTTCGAGCATTTTCAAGCAGCTCACGAGCTTCGGTTCAGGATTTCGAGTTCGAGTCGAGCTTAAAAATTTTAAGCTCGCGAGTTTTCGAGTCGAGCTTCATTTCAGAGTTTTCGAGTCGAGCTCAACAATACTCGAGCTCTACTCGGCTCGTTTACACTCCTACCCCTAAAGCCAGACATGAAATTCGAACTCACGACACTACATGGAAAATTTTAAAAAAAATATATATAGTGGTGGTGTCGGTGTATAACTATAATGTCACATCAACAGTTCTGTTATTTTTTTAACGGTACATAATCAAAATAAAACTAAAACGTAACGTTATGTATGATTTTGAAAAAATTAATAGTTCGGTGATCAAAACGGGAATAAAAGTGATAATTCGGGATACTAAAGCTGTAATTTATCTTTAATTTTATTATTTAAGTTTATTGAATAATGTTTTTTATATTCTCATAATTCATTTTAGATTTTTTTTTAATTTAGGTTTGATTGAAATGAAATATTTATTTATTTTTAGTTTATATTGAAAATAAAATTAAATAAAGTAAAGTACTTAATGCAATATTTAATATAGATAATTCGTTTTTATATTTTTGAATTTTTGGGTTTTGACTTGATATAAGTAAATTTTTAACAAAACACGTGAGTGGAATATGAAAAGTAAATTAAAAAAAAACAAAATTGTAACAATTAGGAGTTATTACTCGAGGTAGGTTAACAATTTTTTAAATTGATATTTTTTATTAGACTAAGATGATTACAAATAGTATATATTTATAACTTAAATTGATATTAAAATTTTAAAATAAAATAAGATTAAATATTTTGTTATGATACACCAAATATGTTATGATATGATATCTAGATATTATATTTCGATTTAATTTTAAAATAAGGTAAATTTGACATTTATATTTGCCTTATATATGTGTACTGTACCATATTTTATTTTATTTTATATAATATAAATATACAACCCTTTATATTTTGATTATTTTAAAAAAAGTTAGTACTAAAAATGTAATCCATTTTAATTAACCAATTTTAGCTTTCAATTATAGCATTTGAAAAATATAAAATAATTTTATACATTTATCTTTTATTTAATTGCATTATCCAAATTACTTTTCAATAATCTCATATGTTTTTGTGCGCACACGCGCGTGCATGGACGTGTGCGTGTGTGGGCGTGGGCATTTGTGGGCTTGTGTGCGTCTATGCGCATGCGTACGTGCATGTGTGGCGTGTGGTGTGAGTAGGTGTGTAGGTGTGCGCGCGTCCGTGCGTAGGTGTGTTGGGGCGTGCGTGTGTGCGTGGGTATGGGTGCGCACTCATACGTGCTTGTGTGGGTATTTGGGTGCGTGGGTGTGTGTGTGCGTTTATGTGCGCATGTGCGTGTGTGTATTTGGGTGTGCGTGTGTGGATGTGGGGGGTGTGAGTACGAGCGTGCGTGAGTGCGTGTGTGCATGTATGTGCAGTTGATTATCTTATCATTTTTTATTGTTAATCTCATTCATTTATTTTCACTCATCAAACAGTCATAAATTTATATAAAACAACAAAATTCTACACACACACACACATATATATATATATATGGGATATGATTCCGTTACAAAATGTAAAACTTTTTTAGTTTTACACAGATTTAGGATATTTGGATGAGTGAAAATAGGTGATTGAGATTAACAGTAAGAAACGTGAAGATATTCATTGGGAAAAATACAATGAGTCAATCCCGGACATATATTTTCACTCATCTAATAGTTCTAAATATGTGTAAAACTAAAGAGTTTTATATTATATAAGTAGATTCTAACTATATATATATATATATATATAATCTTCTCTAGATAAACAAAAAGTTGGTAAATAAAAGAATATAACTATTAATTGTCAAAAGAAAAGAATATAGCTATTAATTAGAAAAATGTTTAATTCTATTTTAATTGAACTTTACACAATAAATAATCAACTAGTCCTCATTGTAATCTTTGAATTCTCTTTTCAAAGGGGGAAAAAGTCAAAATGTTCGTTTTCATATCTTTAAAAAATGATTTGAAATATTATATTGTAATGTTGACATTTAGTTTGTTGAAAGTAGGAACAACTTAAAAAGAAAACCATTAATTGGCAAATTAAGAATAATAAAATACGATTCAAACAATTTTAATAATTAAATGAATGATTGTTATCTTTTGAAATATCGGATTCAAATACGATAATTATAGGAGTGTTTGAACGTACATAATATAATCAACATTACATGAAACTATATAAGAAAATAAATAAAATATGATACGAAAAATATAATAGCATAAAAATAATACAGTTAGATATTTTCGCATTCAAATTATTTTAAAACATTATAAAAGTTAATATTATTTTAAACTATGATACGGACTTTTGAGCCTACTCAAAAGAGTACTTAGGTGAGAAAAAATATATGTTTGGATACGATTCAAACCATGAATATATTCTTAAACATAAAAAATTTGGTATAATTAATAAAAAAATTTAATGGCGGGGCTAAACGAGGGAATATTAATGTTGGAAAAATGAAGAAAGAAAAAAATAGGCAAAGGGTACGTCAAAGTTATAAAAATCGACGAAGAAAACTGTTAGTTAAAAGATTACATTACGTTTGTTTTCTAAATTTGAGGAGCACCTTAAGTGTAAAAAAGTAGACGGGCCACATTATTATTTTTTTAAATAGGAGGGACTCGCATAATGTTTTGCTAAAAAATAATAGAGAATTAATTAGAGTCTTCGATATATAGAATGAAAGTTACCGTGAGTATTAAAGTTGTTTACATTTAAACGATTTTGATAAAATTGTATAAAAAAAAAAATTGTCTACAACCGCCATGATTTTGTTATATTTTTTAAATATATTTTTAGGATTAAAATTTAAAAAAATAATTACAATGTAAAAATATTTTTCTTATGTTTTAGTCTCAATCTTTATATATATATATATATATATATATATATAAAGATACACACGATCAAAATTACTAATAACATAACATTCATCCTATTTCTGTGATTTGAGTTAGGGGAGAGGCATGACATATAAAAAATAAAACGTGCATGGAAAAGTCTGAAACAGTAGCCTTCCATGAAATTGAAATGCTTAAATGTGGAAGCACTAATCCAACGAGTCATTATTAGTAAGGGAAAAAAATTATTAAAAATGGAAAACCCACCATCATCTTTGCTTCTAGTCCAATTCAAAAATCAACCTTGAAGATACGGTAGATTCTTGATGATATCTGCCGGATCTTGCTTTCCAAACTGTCCCAATGGCTATCCTTTTTAACCCTCTTTTCTCCTTCTTCCTTATTCACTTCCCCTTCTTCTTCTTCTTTTCTGGGCTTTTTTTTTGCTTTGTTTAACAATCATGGGAATGGCTACTCAGACTCAGTTCCATGTCCTTGCCGTTGATGATAGTCTCATTGATAGAAAACTTATTGAAAGGCTTCTCAAGACTTCTTCTTATCAAGGTAATCCTTTTATTTTTTTGTGGTAAAAACATTTCTTTAATTGCTCCATTGAGACACACAACATGGTTTGAATTTGATGTTTGTGTTTTACAGTTACTGCAGTTGACTCTGGAAATAAGGCTTTGGAGTTTCTTGGGTTGAATGACAATGAAGAAGATGAAGAAAGGAATTCGAGTGTTGCATCAGATGATCAACAGGTGAGAGTGAATTTGATCATCACTGATTATTGCATGCCTGGAATGACAGGCTATGATCTCCTGAGAAAAATCAAACAATCTTCATCATTTAAAGACATACCTGTTGTTATCATGTCTTCTGAGAATATCCCATCAAGAATCAACAGGTTTGTCGTTCGTATAACATTTTTTTTTCAATGTTTGATTAGTAATAGTTAAGAAACTGACATGAATTTTATCACAATCAGATGCTTGGAAGATGGAGCTGAAGAGTTCTTTTTGAAGCCAGTTCAATTATCAGATGTAAGCAAGCTGAAGCCTCATCTCATGAAAGGAATTACATCTAAAGAAACAAAATCAAACATTAACAAAAGAAAGGGTATGGAAGAAATTCATTCCCCAGATAGAACAAGAGCGAGATACAGTGAACTGGAAGTTGTCTGATCTGTAAATCAGTTATTTTATCGGGAAAATTTTCTGGGTTTTCTCTCCTTCATTTTACCTTTTGGTTTCTGGATACAAAGGGAGATAACTTATGAACCAATTGTACTCAACTCTTTGCATCATGCAAAATCATTGTATAGAATTTTGATTTCATATCGGAGAGAAAGCTACTTTGTTATGTTTTAGAGTTATATGGAATCTAAGCTTCCAAATGTAAATTACCAGAACGGGAACTATAAACTCAATTTTGTTGGTTGATTAACAGATTTGCTCCACTGCCTATGTGTTTGTATCAGACTTTTCTCGAGGTTTGAATCTACACTTGAAATTCTCATCTGTAATTGCTCTCTTTTTCATTCAGTTTCTCAATAACCAACCACTATTTGTATGCTCTGTAAAATGCAAGGGGAAAGCAAGAAAAATTCAAGCAATATTCATAGGGAACTTTCTCAACAAATTAGAAATGATAAATTAGTATTGATAAAGCATACCCATATTTGTTACTTAACTGGATTACATCCCATGCAGGTTTATAGAAAGCTACAAGGAACTATAACATTGGAGCTTAATTCATTTTGTTGATTAGATCATTGATTTCGTTTTCGCGATTTCCAGCATCTCCCCCTTCTTTATATGACTGTTTCTTCCCATGGATTAATCCATCTTCTGGCTTGCTAAGCATAAAGGGTCCCATAAAATGAACAACCTCCTTGAAATGTGGACCGACATTTGCGATTTTGTGTATGATATCTTCTATGCATATGATGCCATACTTTCCCAATGTCTGAAAAACAGAGGAATTTTAGTTGAGAACATTACAAACCTTGGGACAAAGTTACAATGGGAACTTCCACGGTAGACTCGGTTACAATACCTGCTCAATGATGTTATTATCAGTCAGAGGAACTGCTTTCTTGTAAATCTTTGCATAACCTTTCTTGTAAACAAGCTCCTTCACACTCCTAAGATTAGGGTATCTGCATAAAACAATTTTATTGTTGTGAACTAACTTAGTGGTTACAAAACTTGAAGAAACAGATATAAAGAACTATGCATTCTAACTGCATAAACTACTGTATAACTGCATGCCAATGTAAACATAACATAATCAATATAGCTAGCATAAGATTGTAGGTCTAAGTTACGCAGACTAGAGCATGTGCTGGTATAATTACATGAAGAGTTCTCTCTGTTTATGCATCTTCCAAAGGATAGATGGTTGCTAAATTTATGAGAGGTAGCAAATTCCTCAACAGGCATCCTATATGAAGAAATATCATGAAGCACTTTTTTAGTCGGTGCGCACCACTAGGATCTGCCAATGCTCCTACTTTTAAACTATCCGAGATAAAAGCTTCAATTCCACCATGAATTAATGGACAGTTCAATCTCAAAACATGTTATGAAGGCTTGCATCAAAATGTCACGGATAGATAAGAAAAGATTCAATAATATATCCAGTATTTGCTTGATAAAAGATTCACAGAAAGCAGTGGCAGATACCATCACGATGAAATCCCAATAGCAAATCACTTCGGATTCTAGATAGTTGATGACTAAGAACAACTTGGCATGGCAAGCTCCAGAATTCTCTTCATGGAAATAAGGTGTATGTTGATTGCCAAGTGTGGAAGCCTAACCTTAAACCCTAAATCGTAAAACGATGATACACATACTCTACACTAGAGAATATAAATCATCAACACACTGGAGTAGCCCCTTATAATTTATGAGTTATCACATCATAAGATCCAGTATTTTACATTGACAAGGAAATATAATTCCAAAGAACAAAGGTTGCTTTCATACCCAAAAGTGACATATGGCTCCACCTTCTGCAACATGTCTATTACACCCTCAGTTTCCTTCACAAAGACACCACTGAAAACTTTCCTCAATCTTAGTTTGTATAAGATCTTTCTTGTTTTTGGATGCATGTCATTTTTGCTGCAAAACAAAGAAAAAAGATAAGAGCTGGAAAAAAATTAAAGGAAATATATTGAATAAGATTGAGGTAGAAAAGACCACCTACCCTTGTATACGGATAATGAATAGTAAGTTTGATTTCGGCTTTGATATCATTGATTTTGGCCTATTTGCCCTCTGTTTCATTCTGATCAGGTCCAATTAACCCCCCAAAAAATACATTTGAAGATAACTTTATTTCCTTTTGAAGTAGTACGACTACTAGAGATGTGAGTTGAGTTGAACTGAGCTGAGCTAAGCTGATATTTATCGAGCTCGACCTCAGTTATGCTTATAATATTCTGTACTAAACCTAAGCTCAAACAGAACAATCAAGCCACAGAAGACTGAAATAGGGCCAACAATAAGTAATCCAGTAAGGAACTTGAAACTTGAGTTCAAAGTTCAAACACAGAGGTTGGCCCTATTTGAGTCTACTAAGGTTACTGAGTTTCTCAAGGAGGCATTAGATTACAGAGTTGCTCAAGGAAGCATTAGTTATACCAAAGGACTCAACCCAATCGAGCTGGCCCAAGCTCAAACCGTGAAATGCTTAAGCTTGAGCTTGACATGAAATTCAATGTCAAAGCTTGCTTGAACTCACACGACTAGGCTTTATTAAAATGAATGAGTTCAATTACCATGTCCAACTGCTCGACTTCAAGTTCGATTATTTGTGCTCAATAATAATAAAAAAAACCTCCACTAAGTATGCAAGCCACTCAAGCCAGACATTTATACCCTTATCATTCCTTTGTATGATTATGAACTACAGAGATGCATTGAATCAACAGTAAAAAATCCATTTTAAAAAAAAAGGTAAATTTGATGAGCAAACTAAGTAGTTGAAGAGTAGCAAATTACCTTGTCTCTGAACTCTTTTATGAACTGCTCGGGTCTTTTGATGTCAGAAACATGGGATTGGTTGTTGCTTTTCTTGGCTCCATATTTTCCCAGTTCCAACTGTGTCCTCGTAATCGCTAGCTCATATCTTATTTTCCTTTTCTTCAATACTATCTCTGATACGTAGGCCAATGGCTGCCCTTCCTCTTCCGCCATAGTCTCTCTGTTTAGTACAGTTAAAAACCAAGAGATAAGCCAATAAGTAAAATTACAGTGGCGCAGCTGAGGAGCAAGGCAACGGCAATAGGCTATAGCTTAGAGAGTTTTAAAAGAGAACTCAATTTAGGTCTTTTTTAATACGGAAACATCATGTTTTTCAAAGAAATGTTCGATGAAATAGACTCCGTTTTTCTTTCTTTCTTTTTAAATATTTTATTTTAAAGCAAAATGTTCTCTATTTATATAAAAATCCAAATCGTTGGTTAAGTACCTTTAATGTATTTAAAATATGACAAGATATATCATAATATCATTTTAAATATTGGATACATATCGTATTATTGGTTATGTTTATGTTATATAAATTATATCATCATTTTAGATATATGTCATATATTACGTCATCACTCATAGTACATGTGATATTTGTTAAGTTATCATTTTGGACACATAATTTTACTATATAAATGAAAAATGTTGATCATTAGTTAACTAGAGGTTTTTATTCAAATAAAGATTACTTTATTTTAAAATAAAATATTAAGAATTACAATATTAAAAGAAATAAACATCAAAGTGATTATATAATTAAATATTAAAATAAAATTTTATTATTATATCTTTATAAATATATATATAATCAATTTACTGTAGCAACATCAAGGATTCTAGGGAGAGCTTACTACAACAATATAATTAAGTTATTTCACGTTTTTAATATTCTTTCACAAATATAAGGTTAAAATCCTGTCATTTTAGACATAATTACAATATAAATATACAAATATGGTGAATTTATATTACAAGAACTTTTAACATATTAAATTTCATATATAAAATAAGAATAAGAAAGAAAAAACACTACATGTTCACGTATAAAGAATTTCTCATATTTACTGTTAGTTGTGGATAAAATAGAAGGACCATTTAAGTTAATTTGTGATAATAAATTTATATTTTTTCTCAATAACAACGACATATTAAATTCGAAGTAGAAAATATCGGGTTCATGAAGTTAAAGAAAATTCAAAGAGGTTTATAGAACATATTTGTCCAAACTTTATGATTGTGTGTTTATTCAAGGACCATCATCTTAAGTCTTTCATGAGCATATTACTCATGTATGTGGGTCTAACGTCATTTAAAAATATTCAGTTTTAATTGAAGTTTATAATTTCAAAATATTTATTTGTTATAGACACTATTTTTTATTTCAATTTAAGACTTTTAAAATTGGTTTTTTACAAAAATAGTTTATTTTTTTACAAACTATCAATATTTGATCTGTCATTCAATTATGTTAACATATGGGATCAAGCATAGTTCAACTATGATAGACGTGAAAGTTGCTTTGATTTTATTTTAACATGATTGACGAATGAGATTATCTGATTTTATGGTAATATTTATAGATGTAATTGTTCGAATTCAAATTTTTATAGGAAAATCAACATTCTTTTTTATCATTGAAATCACTTGATGAGTTCAAATATACTCACTCTTAAATCTTATGTATTTTATAAATGTCTTGTACTGGGGCTGGAGAAGGAAAGGAAAGAAGAAAGGACAGAATAAAAATTACGCCTCTTTAAATTTTATGTTCATAATATTATAATTTTATCATTCTAAATAGACAATTATGTGAATTTATATAAATTTTGGCATATTATGTTAAAAGTTGTTTGTGTGTGTGTGTGTTTTTTAGTTATTTATAAAAAAATTATATTATATTTCGTATAATTTGTTATAATGATTTAATTCAAATAAAATTATATTTAAAAATTTTAAAAGATAAAAATTTCACAAAAAATATTGATAAAAGAAGTAAAAAAATATAAAAACACATACATCTGACTTTAACGCCAGCAATACATGTAGTTGGCAATGTGCAATGCAAATATTGTTCATCCATACAGATGATAAATATAGCATTAAAGGCACCATTATACACCAAAAAATGACCATACAACCTACAGCAGATAATACAATGTTAAACACATTATCCTATTTCTATTTGCAACACCATATCCAGGCAGTTATATTTCCACAACAATTCAGATAGGTTAACTTTACCATGTTTACCATATTTGCACAGCTGTCACAGCAAGCATCATCAAGGCGTTGAACTGAAGATGGTGCTCAAAATCATGCATCCTCCTACCCTTCAAACATTTTTCTTCTCCACTAACATTTAGTAATGTTCATACTTCATATGTCGAGACATCGTGGTTTTTCTACGCAAATATGAGAAATTAAGATTTACAGAACTGATTAGTTTCTTTTGATTGGAACTGACACGCATACAAGGAAAAAAATGCTGGTGTATTAGCAAAAAAACAGTTCTTTCAGGTAATAGCAGGCAATGTACAAACCTCAGGATACTGAATTTCTATGCACAAAGCTAAGTCGAGCCAAATAATTACTCTCAGCAAAATCATGTAGTGTTCGACAAGGGCGTGAACCCTCATGACCAAGTCTCTGGGACTCTTCTTTCAAAATTTCCCTACATGCATCAGCATCCTGAAAAGAAGATGTTATGAAATATTGAATTGAATTCAGGAACGAAATTGGATAAGAAGAATGTACATGCATAAAGTCAATGATCCCCGCAAAAGGCTAAAGACATCCGGTAATTCGGATATAGATGATCCTTCCAATAAAAATTTTAGAAAAAAATACCACCAGTGAAATCAATCAAATGAGTTTCCAACTGGTAGAAGAGCCATGGACTCTGTCATGCACCCACACAACGAAACAAAGAAAAGTCAACTTAGCTGGGGATGGAGTAAATATCTACAGTAATAGTATGACAAACTATCAAGTCATTGTCTTGAAAACAGAAGCTTGGCCAAGAGGCATACCTGTAAGAATTCCATCATTTGTTGTTCAATTGTACCACGCATGGCTAAAGTCTCCACGTGAATTGGACGAGTAGCACCCATCCGATGGGCACGGCTAATGACTTGTTCCTCCATGCTGATAAGATTTCAACCGGTAAACATTGGCATCATTTGATAATAAAGTGTGCTATTTTTAACAAAAGAATGGATATAAAAGTCCTGTGGCTTAATGGTAACGAAAAGCTCAGGGCTCAAGTCACAGCAGTGGACCACAAGAGCAATACACGTTAATCTTTAGATATTGGTTTCTGAAGTACTGTAATCCTCGGTGAGATTGGAGACAGATTATGGCTAGTGTGGCACACGGAATATAGCATATATTTAAGGTGTTTTGTTAGCAAGATGGTCAAGGTTTGATCCATATAACAGTGACTGGTGGGATACAACCAGCCTCTCCATTGATATAACTTATAACCTCAGCGAGGGGGTAAGGCTGTGGCTTAACCCCTTCACCAAGCACGCACTTGCGGCCTTAGCAGCAGACAACTTCCTTTCTACAGTCTCTGTGCAAGCCTGTCCCGCCACTGGTTCCCTAGTGGTTAGTGGAAATGATCATCCCAAGAAGGGTTATCGCTGCTGCCCGTTATTACTTAAAAAATATATACTAAAATGCTGCAGGAGAAAAAACTATTGCCTAAGCTTTGATGTTAGATCTGAGAATTGGAACACCAATGTTTTTATCTCTCACTTGGAAACAAAACAGCGTTAGCAGCAAAGTCCATACAATCTTTTGCAGGGAACTGATGAGATAAAATATCTTATTTTTCAGAATTCTAACCAAAAACAAATTTCAGGATACGAGTTACTTGTAAATTACCTTCTGTCCCAAATAGGCTCCATTAAAAATACATGAGTAACAAAACTCAAATCAAGACCCAATGCAGCACTCCCATCCATCAAGAGAACCATGCAACTATCATCATATTGGAATGTGGTCAGTGACTTCATCTGCAAAAATGGAAATTAATAAACTCAAGGATTGCACGAATAGGGGGAAAATAGAAGTCACAGAAACGGCTAGAGAAAAGAAGTACCTTGTTGCTAGAATGCATTGGACTATACATTCCAACAAACTTGATATCAGCACAAGTCAGCTGCCAAAAGGAAAAGGTCATCGACCTACCATTTGTAAAGGAAAAATAAAAAAAAGTGCACTTTTGCGTAAGTAAAGTCAAACTAGATATACCTGTTGCTCAATAACATGTATATGCTCAAGAAATTGAGAAAATATTAGAACTTTCTCTGGAAGCATCTTGTACGACACATTGCCCGGTCTAGAGCAATTCAGCAGCAAAGGCACATCCATAGCACTCCTCTGTGAAGGCCAAAGTAACTTATCAATGTTCTTGCCCTCAACATCTTCACCAACAGAGGAATTGACCTCTTTATTAACCTCCTGCAATGCTTTCAACCTCTCCACAAGATAAGCAACTTTACTACTAGAGGTTGATTGCCAATCAGGATTCCAATCATCCTAATAACCAGAAAAAAGAATGTCTATTTGTCAGGATTTATATAGCATAAAATTAAAAACTACTAAATAAAATGATGAAATCAAGAATTAACCTACCTGTTTATATGAAGGTTGTAATTCAATAAGATCTTTTGGGACAGGCCACTTGGGATTTGGATTTTCCGGGCGTGCTAATGTTTCAGGAGTCTGCATCTCATATAGGTGACAACAGCCGGGTAACGTACACATTTCACTATCCAAACCAACACAATCAAGGCACAAAAGATGCCTACATGGGGTAACAATTGGTAGACGGCACCATTCATTGCATCTATATCAGAAGACAAACAAGAAATAAACCATAATCTGATCATATGGTAGGAAATGGTTTAAACAAAGCGACAAAGAAACTCAAAAGCGAATTATTACCTCTGACAATTACCACCATAAAGGAGGTTATATTTAATTAAAGCATATTCTTCTGAAAGAGGATCCAGACCATTTTCAACTAAAATGTCCATTGTTTCTTGAATATCTTCACCAGCTTCTGTTACTTTTATATGCCCAGCCACACAACAAGATAGCCTGACATTTCTAATTGTTGTGCTCCGAAACTTCCACTGCTTTGGATTTAATAAACTTTCAACATGAGAAGGGTCATTCCAGTCAGCCATTAGAATATTTCGCCGCACTGTAACCACCAATTCATTATAACTTTTTGCGTGTTCATCAGTGAAATTGACAA